ATACAGACTCCCAACAGCAGACCAGAGGAGCCCAAGAATCAAGTCAAAGATTTGAAATGTGAAGAAGCAAAAAACACCCAACCAGAAAAGCAAAATGAAAAAAGAATCCAAAAATACAAAGATAGTGTAAGGAGCCTCTGGGACAGCTTCAAGTGTACCAACATCAGAATTATAGGGGTACCAGAAGATGAGAGAGAGCAAGATATTGAAAACCTATTTGAAGAAATAATGACAGAAAACTTCCCCTACCTGGTGAAAGGAATAGACTTCCAAGTCCAGGAAGCGCAGAGAACCCCAAACAAAAGGAATCCAAAGAGGACCACACCAAGACACATCATAATTAAAATGCCAAGAGCAAAAGACAAAGAGAGAATCCTAAAAGCAGCAAGAGAAAGAAACTCAGTTACCTACAAGGGAATACCCATATGACTGTCAGCTGATTTCTCAACAGAAACTTTGCAGGCCAGAAGGAATTGGCAAGAAATATTCAAAGTGATGAATGCCAAGAACCTACAACCAAGATTACTTTATCCAGCAAAGCTATCATTCAGAATTGAAGGTCAGATAAAGAGCTTCACAGATAAGGAAAAGCTAAAGGAGTTCATCACCACCAAACCAGTATTATATGAAATGCTGAATGGTATCCTTTAAGAAGAGGAAGGAGAAGAAAAAGGTAAAGATACAAATTTTGAACAACAAATATGCATCTATCAACAAGTGAATCTAAGAATCAAGTGTATAAATAATCTGATGAACAGAATGAACTGTTGATTATAATAGAATCAGGGACCTAGAAAAGGAATGGACTGACTATTCTTGGGGGGAAAAGGGGTGTGAGAGATGCGGGAAGAGACTGGACAAAAATCGTGCACTTATGGATGAAGACAGTGGGTGGGGAGTGAGGGCGGAGGGTGGGGTGGGAACTGGAAGGGGGGGAGTTATGGGGCGAAAAAAAGAGGAACAAATGTAATAATCTGAACAATAAATATTTAATTTAAAAAAAGAAAGATGTGTTTTGGTGTGGGCCTCTGCACTTCCTGGACTTATAAGTGTATTTCTTTCACCAAGTAGGGGAAGTTTTCTGCCATTATTTCTTCAAATAGATTTTCAATATACTGCTCTCACTCTTCTCCTTCTGGCACCTCCATGATACAAATGTTGGTACATTTAAAGTTGTCCCAGAGGCTCCTTACACTATCTTCAAATTATTTATTTTTTATTTTTTTGCTCTTCTGGTTGGGTGTTTTTAGCTTCCCCATAATCCAAATTGCTGATTTAATTCTTGGAATCCTCTACTCTACTGTTGATTTCCTGTCAATGATTCTTAATTTCAGTTAATGTATCCTCCATTTCTGACTGGTCCATTTTTATGTCTTTGATGTTCTCACTAATTTCCTTGAAATTCTTACTAAAATCCTTGAAATTCTCACTAAGTCCTTGAAACTCTCATTAAGATCCTTGAGCATCCTTATAAGCATTGTTTTGAACTCTGTATCTAGTAGATTACTTGCTTCCATTTCACTTAATTTTTTTCTGGATGTTTTTTCTGTTCTTTCACTTGTGACATGTTTCTTGTCTCCACATTTTGGCTGCTTCCTTGTATTTGTTTCTATGTATTAGGTAGAGCTGCTATGTCTCCTGGAATTGGTAGAATGACCTGTGTAGTAGGTGTCCTGTAGGGCCCAGTGGTTCAGCATCCCTCATCACCTAAGCTGGGCACTCTAGATGCACCCCTTTGTGGGCTGTGTGTACTGTCTTGCTGTAGTTGTGCCTTGATTGCTGTTAGCATCGCTGGGAGGAATTGACCTCCAGGCCAATTGGCTGTGAGTTCCAGCTGTGACTACAGTGGAAGAGATGCCATACAGGAGACACTCCTATGGAGCAGGACTTCCTTCAGTGGGGCTTTGGTGCTCTGAGACTGTCCCTTGAGTGTATTGCTCATGGATGTGTAAGGTTGTAATCTGGCATGGTCTGAAGCTGTCCGTTGGGTACACAGGCCCTGGGGCCACTCTGGAGGTACAAAGTCAGCCACTGCCTTTGCCCTGCCTGAGGCCACCTAGCCAGAGATACAGAGTGATCTGCAGATGGCTGCTACTTGTATTGGGTTCAAAAGTACCCAGAAGATGCCAAGCTGTGAAGCAAGGCAGGCTGCTGCCAGTGCCAGACATGGGGCCTCTTATTGAGTGGTATGGGGCTCGCTGACAACAGCTGCTGCTTGCTTGAGAGATTTTAAGAAAGTCTGAAGCCTGAGCCAGGACAGGCCATTCATATGGAAAAGACTCTGCAGACCCTTGGGTGGGGCTGCGAATTGGGTAGGGTTGGAAACTGGGTGGGGTAGGGTCTCAGGGAATCACCAGGGTAGAGTGCACAGTGTGAGCCAGGTTGATGGAAACTCAGATATAGTGCCTGTCAGTCAGCTCTTCAGCAGGGGAGGCCTCAGAATAGGAACAGTGACCCTTCTAGCACTTTTGTCTAGGAGAAAGTTGTCTTGGCGTTCTTGTCCTGATGCCAATTTAGTTACTACCTATATATCCCTGGATCCTTTCAAGCTGCTGCCCCAGCACTGGAGCTTAGAGGAAGTGAGTTTGAGTAATTCTGTGTGCCAGCCCTTTAAGAGGAACTGCCTGGGTCTCCAACAGCCTCCATGTCACTCGGCTACAATCCCAGCTTTTGTTTATAGCCCAAAGTTATAGGGAGATTTCATCACAGCTTGGAATCCTGGGCTGAGGGGACAGGCTATTCATATGGAAAAGGGGCTGGGAGCCTTTGCTCCTCATGGGAGGCCTCTGCAGCCAAGATATCCTCCTGATTAAAAACACACCAAACATGGGTATGGGAACAGCCGGTTTCACGCCTCTACCCTTCCTTTCATTACTGGTGTGCTACTTCAAATCTCTACTTGTAGGACTTCCATTCAGCCAGAGTTCAGGCGGTCCTGAATGATGGTTGTTCTGTATTTTAGTTGCAATTTTGATGTGGTTGTGAGAGGCAGCGAGTCCTGGCATTTACCTAGGCTGCCAACTTGGTTTTCTCTCTCATTTTCATGAGTTCTTAACCCGTAATATGAAGGTGCTAGATATGAGATTTACATGCATTATCTCATGCACTCTCTGTGATCCTAGTAAATAGATTCTATTATTATCCTGCCTCTCTGTGCCTTGGTTTCATTACCTGTAAGATAATTGCAACTATATCCATAAGGTTTTGTGAGTGTTAAATGGTTTGATACATGGCAGGGTGCTTGGTGGTAAGTAAGCACTAAATAATGACATTATATTCACCACCACCCTGACCAATAACCCTCCAAAGTTAATTTGTATCCCCAAATGTTTTGTTGAGTTCAGGGGATGAACTGCCTCCCTCCTCAAGCTGCCACAGAGGTAGAAGGGCTGAGGGCCTGGGTTCTGTTTCTCTGAGATCTTTATCATCTTCCCATCCTGGCCTGGGCTGAACAGCTGTCAGAGAAACCTTGGGGCAGGCCCAGAGACTCAGCCTGATGCTTGATCCTGGGTGGACCAACAAGTCAGAGTAAGACCTCAGCAACCCATATGGAGAGAAAGGGCAGTGAGAATGTGGGGGTGTGACTGGACACCAGGTGACTCAGAGGGCTCACTATCCAATCAGAGTCTCCCAGCCAGATATTTAAATGTGCAGGGAGGGCAGAGACACAGCCCAGGGAGAGACCAGCTGGAGTCTGAGGTCAGGTTCCACTCGCAGATCCATTCCAGCTTTGCTGATCTGTCTGAAGACCTCTGAGCCCACGGTGTTTCCATCTTTGAGTTGGGAAGGTGGGTGACTGGGTTTCCAGGGTCTCTCTATTCTGATCATCCCTGATGTTCATTTATAATGGGAGTCTGACCTCACCCTGAGGGCCTGTTGTGTGGGCCACCCACAGGGCTGGGTAGTTTTGGCTGAGTGGGTCGTGGTAGCCATGGTTTGGAGGGACAGCCTTCACAGGTACTTCACCTGGCCTGAGATCTGAGCTGAGTTCTGCTCTTCCCAAAGGGATTTACCTGAAGCCCAAGACACCATAGGTCCTGGCCCCCTGTGCTGGGCCTGAAGAAGCAGGTGATGATCGGCACCAGGTGAGTCTGGGGGTGGAGTGGGGCCCATGGGTGCAGCCCCAACTGCTGAAACAGAAGGACTGAGACTGTAGGTGGCTCTCACTTCAGTCTCAGGGATGGGTGGCCAGCAGCAGGTGCAGTGGCTGCTTTAGGCAGCCCAGGTGCCAGTCCCAGCTCAGCTACTGGCAACTTGGTGACCCTAGGCAAGTCCTTTCCTCTCTCTGGGCCACTTGTCCACATGTGTAAAGTGGAATGTTGGGCTAGATGACCCCCTGGGTCCCAGCTAGCCCTATAATCTAAAGCTCGTGGACTCTGCACTTATCTTTTCTGTGGGTCACATTTCTCATCTGTGAATGGGAACATGTGTGTGCAGGAGCCTGGAAGAGGATGCCAACCACCTATGGTAGGTGCATGTTTTGTGTATCTTTTCAAAAATATGTTTTTATTGATTTTAGAGAAAGGAAGGGAGAGAGAAACATTAATGATGAGAAAGAATTATCAATCCGCTGCCTCCTGCATGCCTCCAAATGGGGATCAAACCCTTAAATTAGGCATGTGCCCTGCTTTGAAATCAAACCGTGATCTCCTTGTTCATGGGTCAACACTCAACCACTGAGCAACACCGGCCTGGCAATTTTGTGCATTTTGTTTGGTCTCATACTAGGTCACTGAAGCAGGCTGGGCCTGGGCCAGAGGTGCATCCACAGATGGGAAAGTTCATGAGGGCTCCACGGAGCTCTATGTGGCTGCATGGGAGCCCGAGGACTTACTGGCCCAGGAACTCTGGCTCCATGGGCCAGCAGGGCGCTGGGAGGAGGAGGGAGGAGTGCCCTCATTGCAAGGCCTTTCCAGGATGCTGGGAGTGTACCTGGCAGAGGGCTCTGTTGGACAGTCAGGGATGAGCACCACCCTCATGGACTCGAAGAACGAAGGACGCTCTGGAAGCTCGTTGATGAAGGATATCATCCCCCTGGGGCCTGAGGAATCTGCCATGGACGTGGTCTTGAAGAAGATCCGGGAGCTCTCTGATTCGGTGAGGGGAGAGGAGGGGGGGGGGTAGGTCATGGAGTGGAGAGTGGAGAGGGTGGGTTTCAGTCCCTACTTAGGTGAGGACAAAATAAGACTTTGTGTTTTATAAGTCAGTTTACTAGGTGTTACTGAATAGCTGTGTTCCCCGGTGGCATGGGATAGTTCTCCTTTCCCCTACTAGTCCCCCACCAGCTCCTGGGATTTCACCCTGTGCCAAGCGATCCGGGTGAGGGTTGGAGAGTCCTGGCACCCATTTGGTCTATAAAGCTTGTTGCCCTCTTGTCTTCCTGTTGTAAAAGTTAGAAGATCAAGGCTCAAATCCTACCATTGCCATGTAGTAGCTATTGACTTTGAGAAAAAGATTCATATTGTAGTGCACCTGACACCTGTATAATTTTTTAACCAGTGTCACCCCAATGTATTCACGAAAAAGGAAAAAAATTAAAAGAGATTTTAGAGCCGCAGTTTCCTCTTTTCCTAACTGGGTAACAGCAGTACTTGCCGCATGGAGACCCTGTGAGGATTCACTGAAATGACACAATGCCCAGCCTTTCTTGCCTCTCTCTCTGCCTTGGCAGGACCACCGAGACCCCTTCATGGTGGGCGACCTGGGAGTGTTGGCCAGCCGCCACCAGGCCTTCTGCCAGGCCCTGCCAAGGGTCTCGCCCTTCTATGCGGTGAAGTGTAACAGCAGCCCCTGGGTGCTGCGTGTCCTGGCCGCCCTGGGCACAGGCTTCGACTGTGCCAGCCAGGTGAGCCTGGGCCACAGCCAGTTTCCTCATTCATAGGCCTGACGGATCCTGGAGGAACAAGCCCAGTTGCCAGGTGTCTCAAAAGTGGGGACAGCAGCCCATGAACAGTGGCTGATGTGTGTGGTGCCCAGTTGTTTGTGAAAGAATAAATGAATGAACTGGGAGTAGTGCACCCTCCACTGGTCTAGGTGACGAGGGCAGTCAGCCTGAGCTAAGGAGTGGAGGAAACATGCGCTTTAATCCCCAGACCCCATTCCGTCCTGGCCCAGCCATTTCACTGGAGCCTCAGTTTGTTGGTCTTTAAAATGGGTTCAACTATATGTTCCTCAGAGCAGTCTAGAAGCTTAAGTAACACAATATGTGCCCAGCGCTGTGCCAGAGGCACAGTAGGGCTCAGTAGGGGACACCCCCTCATGCCCGTGGTTCCTGTGCCCAAAAAGCAGGGCAGCAGGGAGGCAGCCCCTTACTCTGGCTTTGCCCATGGCAGGGGGAGCTGGAGCAGGTGCTGGGCCTGGGCGTGGCCCCCTCACGCATCATCTATGCCAACCCCTGCAAGCCCATCTCCCACCTGCAGTATGCTGCCCGCCATGGGGTGCAGCTCCTGACCTTCGACAGTGAGGAGGAGCTGACCAAGGTGGCCCAGCACCACCCTGGGGCCAGGTGAGACTAGAAGGGCTGCAGGCAGGTGGGGACAGGGAGGAAGTTCTGGCAAACTGACTTGGGCCTCAGCAAGGAGATGAAGGCTGTTCCGTGGCGAGTATGAGACGTCCAAGCTGCAAAGAACAAGCATGTGGGTCGGGTGTCCCAGTGCCCTCCCTGGTGCCCACTCTTGTCAAAGATTCCCTGTGTCTGCAGAGGCGCTGGCAGAGCCTGGCATTAGGAGGTCTGGAGTCAGCAACCTCGTGGGAAAAGCACTCATAGGATTCAGGAAGACCAGGGCTCACATTTCTGACTTACTTGTTCCATCTGCGTGTTTCCTGGGAAAGTTATTTAACGTCTCTGATTCCTGTGACAGGTCCCTCTCCCTTCCTCTCTGAAATCAATACAAATATATTTTAAAAAATTAAAGAAGTAGTGTGTTCCCTCCCTGGATCTCCAATGCTGGACAGTCCAGGAAACCAAGGCCAGGAAACTGGAGGGAGTTTGGGTGGGGGCAGAAAAGCATTCAGGCCTGGGGTTCATGTGTCTAAGAATGCCTGTCACCTCATACCCCCTCCCAGGCTGGTCCTCCGACTGTGGACCGAGGACAGCCAGAGCCTCATCCCCATGAGCGCCAAGTTTGGGGCCAGCCTGGAGCTGTGTGGACACTTGCTCAAGTCCTCCCGAGACCTAGGCCTGGCTGTGGTGGGAGCCAGGTAAGAGCACGGAGTTTCTCTCTTGTGAGGCAGGGCTCCTGGTCCCCACGCCTGTCTACAGCCTCTGACTCCCTGGGTGCCCTCGAGTCAGCGTGGCCCCTCTGGGCCTCTGGTGGCTCCCTGTGGTCCTCAGAAGAGGAAGTGGGTGTCAGCTGCTGGGAGGGTGGGGCAGGCAAGGCACTGGCCTTGGGTGTAAAATTTAACGGGATGCCGAAAACTTTGTACTGAAGATAAATAATGTTTTATACAGTATTTAAAAAATTAATGCAGAAAAAATCCATGATGAGAGAATATGAAATTTCAAATCAAGACAGGATTGGCATTGCTGATATTTCTTTTTCCTATGGGTTCAATTACTGTTAACTAATCTTGTCTTTAAAGTTTTTGTATTTTATTCATCATGGATATTTTTGCATCAGCAGGTTTGATCTCTTGATGGGGTGTGTATAGGAGGCAACCAATTGAGGTCTCTCTCTCTCTCTCTCTCACTTGCTCTTCCTCTCTCTCTAATATATATAGACGAGAGTCTCAGTGCACAAAATTTGTGCACTAGTGGGTGTGTCCCTCAGCACAACCTGCAGCCTCTCCAATCTGGGACCCCTCGGGGGATGTCTGACTGCCTGTGGGATCAGTCCTAAACTGGCAGTCAGACATCCCTCTCACAATCCGTAACTTCTGGTTCCCAACCACTTGCCAGCCTGCCTGATCGATGCCTAACTGCTCCCCTGCTGGCCCAATCGCCCCCAACTGCCCTCCCCTGCTGGCCCGGTGTCCCCCAATGGCACTCCCCTGCCAGTCTGGTTGCCCCCAATTGCTCTTCCCTGCTGACCTGGTCGCCTCCAACTGCACTCCCCTGCCAGCCTGATCACCCAAAACTGCCCTCCCCTGCCGGCCTCTTGTGGTGGCCATCTTGTGACCACATGGGGGCGGCCATCTTGTGCGAGGGCGTGATAGTCAATTTTCATATTACCTCTTTCTTTTTTTTTAAATATATTTTATTGATTTTTTACAGAGAGGAAGGGAGAGAGATAGATAGTTAGAAACATCGATGGGAGAGAAACATCGACCAGCTGCCTCCTGCACATCTCCCACGGGGGATGTGCCCACAACCCAGGTATATGCCCTTGACCGGAATCGAACCTGGGACCTTTCAGTCCGCAGGCCGACGCTCTATCCACTGAGCCAAACCGGTTTTGGCGTATTACCTCTTTCTTATATAGGATAGTACATGAAGGTTACTATGTTGATTGCTCAGAGCTTTGGTGCCCCCTTGAATGTTGCACCTGAGGAGCATCCTCCCTCACCTCTCCCCACCTGCCCCTGAATGGGTCCTCTGCGCCCCCTGGTGGATGGTTTGAGATTTGGGGTTCAGATAACATGCATTCCAGGGAGGAAAAGTAGAGGAGCCACTGCCACGAGGCTTTGGGAGGGGTAGCTAAGAGAGGTGACTGCCCAAAAACCACGAGAGCCCCAACTCACAGACTGTCATGTGGTGTGTGTCTCTGGGACCCCCATCTCCACAGCCAAGGTTGTGGTTCCTGTGGGTGCCCACAAGCTCCATGTAGTCACGTGTGTCCCCATGTCTGTGTCCGTGCTGGTTCACATTGTGCCTGTGTGGCTGTTTCCGAATGTGTATCTCCTCCTGCTGACCCTTGCGTTTCCTCGTGTGTTTCTGCACCTGTCACTCCACCTGTGCTCAGCTTCCACGTGGGCTCGGGCTGCCAGAATCCCCACAGCTTTGCACAGGCCATCGCCGACTGCCGGCACGTGTTCGAGATGGGCCGTGGGGTCGGGCATGACATGAACATCCTGGATATTGGAGGGGGCTTCCCCGGAGTGGAGGGCTCTGAGCCGGAGTTTGAGGAGGTAAGAGGGGAGGAGGAGAGGGCGTCTGGGGGCCCCAGCTGGGGTTTATTGCACAGAGTGTGTGTGTGTGTACAGGGAGCTCTTGAACCTCAGTCCTGTGCCTGCATGTAGCTGGGCTTTGTGTTGGTTGAGAGGTCTCTGACGCTACATGCGTGGGCATGGGCACATATACAAGTGTGTGTGTGTGTGTGTGTGTGTGTGTGTGTTGTTTCATGGGAAGCTGGTGGTTCTGTACCCTTCCATTAAACATGTTGGTCCTAACCCTGGGAAAGGCTACAGTCAGAAAGAGGTTCCTAACGGGATCCCCCACACC